CGTTATGGTGATTTTCTGTGGTGGCCGAGTTACTGTTCATTCTGTGGCCGAATTAGTGCATTTCAGTGATTAAAATATAGTGTGTGTTGGTTTGGGGGTTATCGGTAGGAGTACGACGCCCGTGAATGGTGAATTTTGGCTTAAAATGCAAAAATTCGAGTTGTTGGTGCACGTGCGAACTGAATTGAATTGGCTGGTTGTGGTGCTTATTATGGCTTGAAATACACATGAAAATGTTGAATTTATGCCCATGATTGTGTCTGTGATTGTGGGCCCGATGGTGGCCTTGTATGTTTGTTGAATTATGAATTGATTGATTGAAATGTGGACCGTTATATGCGCGCATGGGCTGAATTGAATTGACTGGCAATTGACCATGATTGGGTGTTGATTGAGCATGTGAAATGCATGAGGTTCGATGCGTGCATGGGCCGAATTTAATCGGCTGGTGATTTGGCATGTTGGTGCATAAATCGAACGAGTGAATGAATGAGAAATTGCGTGATGTGTCGTGCGTGTGGTCACGAGAATCCCTGAGGCGTGTACTTTAACGCAGGGAATCCCTGAGGCGGTACTATTATGCGGGGAATTGAGCCGTCCTGAGGCGGTACTATTACGCGGGACGATGCCCGGTATTACCGGAAGACTGCCAACCTGAGGCGTGTACTTCAACGCGGGTTGTGCCGTAGGTGGTGAATGTTGAGCCTGAGGCGGTACCATTACGCGGGCAAGATACATAGCCTGAGGCGGTACTACTACGCAGGCTAAGGAGTGTTGTGATTATGAGATGGTCACAGTGAACCTGAGGCGGTATTATTACGCGGGTCACTGGCGAGTCGGGTGAAAATAGTGTGATGAGGTATGAACGAGTGTGTGGAATGTGGAATTGGAAAGGCCATGTGTTCGACTTGTGTATCAGGCATGAAATTAATTTGAAATGTGCATGTGATTGGAAATTATATAGTTGAGACTAACTTCCAGATTGCGCGTATCAAAAGCCCAGGTAAGTGCAATTGTGTGCATGATGTGTTTATTGGGTGATATCATGTTTGGTCTTGTCTGGAGGTACGTGTTAGCCTAGGTGGGGTTTAGGGTGTTACTTGCTAAGAAGTGTTCTCACGGTTGTTTCAACCAAACAATTTCAGAATCCCGGCCTGAACCATGAATCTTCCTCCGCCGCCGCCACAGCATTTTGGAATACCGATGCACACCGACCATAACGTGTCAGAGTACCCAACAGACGAGCAAGAGGCTCAGAGGGATTCATACTCGAGTTCTGAGGAGTCGGTCTCGGAGTGGACGCCATCTAGAGGGCGTAGCGGCTAGTTTAGGGGTTGAGCGAAGGCCTTTTGAAGTGTCCCATTTTTTACAGTTAAGGTACCCAGGCTACTGATCTTTTTGATTTCGGTGGTGCATAGTTTAGAAGTTCGGTGTGCATGTATATTATGTGGATTGTATATGGTGAATATTGTATGAGTTTGAATTAGTAATGGATGTTTATTCTCCAGTGTACCCCTGGTCAAATATTGTTTGGGTGTTTGTGGCTTTCGCTGGTGCTTTATATCTTTGATGAGTTGATTTGGGTCGGCGATATCCTGGGACGTCGCGATATTCAACCAAAGAGGTGTGTCGCGTGCTCGATAGGGTTCGGGGCGTGACAGAACACCCTTCCACTAGTGGGCCTCCACCAATCACTGGCATTTCCTTGTAATTGATACACAGCTAGGGTCACCTTCTCGCCTTCTGTGCATCCCAGCACGACAAAGGCCTTTTTCACTTCTTCCACCCAGATCGAGGTAGCCTCGGGATCACCTTTCCTATCGAACTTCGAAGGCTTTAACTTCAGGAACTGCTCCACCAGCTAGTGCATCTGTCTATTCATGTTTCCTTACCCTTGACCTTAGCCTTGATTCCCATGATTACCATTGTTTTCATTTGCAGTAGCAGCTACAGCAGCCTCAGCAGCCTGGGCTATAGTGGCAGCTAGCTCCTAAGCTTGCCTCCCCATCAAATTTCGAATTTCTTGCAAGGTCCTAATGACCTCGGTCAACCGCGGGTCCTCCACACTTTGTGCCCGCACACTCAACTAGCCTCTTGTCCTCATGCCTCTGCTCATCCTCACGGTCTCTCACCACTCACCTACCTGCTATAATTCCACTAAGGAATTAGAGACCTAGGTCAACTATACCAGTCTAAAGCCCTAGGCAAAGATCCACATCAACAACTCACAAGCAGGCAGTCAACCACAAACAACACCAGATCACAACCAACAGGGTTCATGCACTAACCTCAGGTCCTGACGCACCTGTACTGTCACATGTTATTGCACCAAATCACTTAGCAATCACAATCAAACAGTCTGGAGGCACGCATAGCACACAAGTTTCCCTAATTGTCTACCCGAAGGTTGTCGTTCCTTATCACTCCAGGTCTCGACCAACTTGGATCGAGCTGACCTTGCTCTGATACCAAATCAACGGGGATGTCACGCCCCGGACCCCACCGAGCCCGCGACATCCCTCCGTAGTTGTATTTCGAATGCGACGTCCCAGGACTCGTCGCCGACCCACACGAACATCAAAACATAAAGCGCAAGCGGAAACGATTAAAAGCACCCAGACAAGATTAAAGATCAAGGGTAGTAGAGAAAACACTTGAACATTCAACAACGCACTTTACACACGTTAGGCCACTAGGATTAAACTCCACCTTCATAAAAAAGGGACAAGTGATCGGGTAGGCTAGCCTAGCTATACAAAAAGGGTTCACCAACTCCATGGGCTCCTCTTCGGGGTCTTGCTCCATCGGCTCTTCCGCGGGATCCCAAAACGATCTGGCGGATTGCTCATGGTCGGGGTCGAGGGTCTGAAATGGTTATATAATAATAATGAAAACGAGTCTCAATAAGTAACACCCTAAACCCTACCTAGGCTAACACGTACCTCCAGACAAATAGAATAACACCCAACACATTCAATCAACATTCAAAGGCACTCTCTAGCTTTACCTCGATGTATATATAACCCTACACGTTAGTTGGATCACAATAACATAATCAACTTCTCAATGCACATGCACTCTAAGATACAACCAATTTCCTACACATGCATCCATAATAACATTGCAACCTATTCCAATCTCAATTTCTACACATGCTCACATCTTTCAACTTCCGACACACACGTGTCCATCCCGATCAATACTGACCCGCATAACACGCCTCAGGCCCACCTCATCGTATGACCGCATAACACGCATCAAGTCTACGGCACTCCGATTTATTCGGGCATTGTCTCGCGTAACACGCCTCAAGACAAATCAAATTCCTCGCGTAAACACGCCTCAAGGATTATGGATCAAACATACATCCCCATTCAATTTCATGCCTTTCCCCACGTCAACATGCCTCAGGGCCTATCAATCATACGCGATACATATCTCATTCCCTTCACACAACATCCACATGCCCTAATCACACACAAACATGCTCAATTCCAAATCAACAACTCAGTCCAACCAATCCATTCATAAGAGCAGCAATGTAGCTCAACCATATCACCCAATCATTCCAACACCTTTCAATTCACAATTCAAGCTATACACTCAATGGCATAAATCCACACATCCCAACATTCAACTCAGCCACCAAGCACCACAACTCAGCCAAAAGAGGAAGAGAAAACCGAATACACAGAATCTGGGCAAATCTAGGCCAGTGCACAGTTCTGGAATTCCTTTTAAAATAAATAGTAATTCAACTCCAAAAATTATGAATTTCGGATATGTCCTAGACAACATCCTGATGAACATTTTTCATGAGAACACAAAACCCAAATCTGCCTAGAACCACCTCTTTTTGTCACCCAAATTCAGACATAAAATATTTCATTCGGATTGGCCATCCGGCTTTCAAAGTGCATTTTAAACAGTAACTAAATCTCCTTAGAAAGTTTTGAAATTTTTATATGTTATAACCACAAATGTCATCAACAAGTTTTGTGAAGGAAGTATTTTGAAAATGGTTCTGCAAAAATTTATAAAAATTCGAACAGACCAAAAGGTCGGAGGAACAGTGTTTCCGGCAGACTAATTTCGGTCCAAAGATGGACTTCCGAATGGCCTCAAATGACTTCCAAAAATTCCTAAATTAAATTATGTTATATTTCAAGATGTTTTGAACAACTTTCATGAAGGACATTACCCCAGATTCGGCCCACATAGGTCTCGGAAAAAAATAGCAAAACTCGGCGGCACAGCAGTAACGAAATCCGGGAACACAACCAACAAGCAAATCTACTTGTCTATCCCTTAAACCAACGAACCACAGCCATTAATCAACCCCTGATAAGCCCATTGGTAACCTTTTAGCTTAGACAAGATTTAGAATGTCACTTACTAGAGAGCCTAAGTAAAACCGAACAAATCGAGGGGCGGCAGCAGTTGGACGGCGGCTCCGACGGTGGCTTCTGATGGTGGCCGAGCAACAAGGGAGAGAGAGAGAAGAGAGGATTCAGCTGAGCAAAGGGAAAGGGGGAAAATGAGGGAGAGAGAGAGAGAGAAGACTTGATCAGATTTTTCTACTAACCCCCACTAAAAATCCCATCACCCACCCCACTCACACATCCAAGGGCTCAAAATCTACTATCTTCCCCAAGCCAAGATCCAAGGGTTCCTATATGATTCACCTCGAGAAAAGTCACAACAAAATTAAAAATGTTTCCCATGAAAAGGAAAATGTACTAATTAACGGACATAGTGTAACAAAATCTCTCAATCTCCTATTCATAGTAAATAGATTAGTGGGGATTCTATAATAAACTGCTTAAATGATTTAGAAACCACATCACGATCGATAGGATTTGGAGGAGTCTTAGCAATCTGTTAAATCCTCCTGAGCCTTGTCTCAGAAGGGCCGTGACAAAAACATCGTTTGATGTGGCAAAATTATGTCGACATCTTTAACATTAGTTAAATTCCTTTTTAGCAAGCAAGCATTCAACTATGGGGAAGTTATGTCGACAGCTTAATTAATCCTTTTGAGTGCTAAGACTCACATCTATTGCGAAATATACAACCAATCCCAATCGAATTCGAAACGAAGAAAAGAACAAATCCCAATCGAATTCCTCGGACACACGGACTTGCAATATAAATTTAGCTCTAATATAAATTTATCACGAAAAAAAAAAAGAAAAAAAAAATCTCTAAAAGCAACCATCTATATCGTCTCCACCGATCACGAGTCCGTGTCCTGAGCTGGCGAACTATCAACACTTCCACTGTCGTCTGATCCCGGACTCCGTTCGTGACCCGAGCCCGTATTACTCGCGACCCGGCCATTAATCACGAGCACCACGACGATCGGCCTCCGGCTTCGAGCCCGATCCTCGCCGCCTTCGTCGGGAACCTTCGCGTCCTCCTCCGGCGGCATCGCGAACCGGCAGACGGGGCAAGTCCCGTGCATCGACAGCCACTTCTCGATGCAGCCCGAGTGGAACCTGTGCCGGCACGGCATCTCCCTCGCCTCGTCGCCGACCGCGTGCTCCTCCAGGCAGATTGCGCAATCGCCGCTCTCCCCGCCGTCCTCCGCAACCGGGGCCCTCGGCAGCGCGTCGATCGAGGCCCTCGACGCCGGCGGCGGGCCCGATTTGGCCTCGAGCAGGGGGCCGAGGTCAGGAGGGGCGCCGCGGAACGCGAAGAGGGTCCGGGTGGCGGCGGCGGCGGGGTCGTCGAAGATGGCGATCGCGTGGGTCGGGGCATCGAGGCTCGGCTCCTGTCGCGACAGCAGGCCGAGGAGCATGGCGCCGAGGAGGGAAAGGGGCGGCGAGGGTGGGTCGGACTCGGGGCCGGAGGCCATTGCTGCTTCTTCCGTCGACGTCTCTGTTGGGAGAAGAGCGGAGGAAGATAAGCAAGGCGAGTTAATAGCGCGTGAGAGAACATTCTGGAAGGCTCGTGAATGGTGACGAGAAGTCGGGATTTGCTTTGGAGTGGGACCAGACGCAGCCCTTTTTTTTTTTTTTTTTTTTTTTTTTTGGGGGGGGAGCCGCCATCATTTGCGTCGGTTCGGTTTTCCACCCTGTGAATGTCAAAGCTCAGAACGATTAGATGATTCCAGTGATCGCTGGTAATTTACGTTTCGACGAAAGCACAAAGTATCCCTTTTTTTCATTTTTTTTTCTTGTCAAGGTTTTAACGTATCATTCAAATTCTGAAAAAATCGTGAAAAAAATCCTAAATTGGTACATCTATGATAAATTTATCACGAACTAATTTTTTGATCACAAAAAACCCTAAAGTGGTACATTTGTGACAAATTTACCATCCATTAAATTAGATTAATATCACGAAAATCTACAAATTGATAAATTTGTGACAAACGGAAGGGTAAAACCTCAAACTGGTATACCCGTTAACTGCTACATGTCATCCAACTCAACAATTTGAGGTAAAATTTAACGGAAACTAACGGAGAGTAAAAAATTAGTACAACCGTCAACTGCCATATGTCATCTAACTCAACAAACTAATACTAGTTTGGGGTTTTTTGTGGTCAAAAAAATTAGTTTTTGGTAAATTTGTCATATGTCCAATAAAGAGTTTTTTGTGGTATTAACCCAAAAATCAAGTGGAAATCTACATGTCAGTATTGATACAGGATTTTATTAAGAAGTTCCCCCAACATATATAAAACTCACAAGTTTAAGTTGAACAAAAAAGTAAAAAGTAAATTTTAATCTAGATATGCCCCATAATTCACAAGTTTAAGTAATAGACAGTATTTTTTACGTTTTCCTATAAAAGTTAAAATATTAATTAAATTTCACATAATAATGAAAAAATTCTTTGTAAACATCCGGGTCGATATTTGTATCTTCTGTAAACTTTGGATGCTTCGAATTTAAAAAAGGAAAATAGTCCCTCGAATAAATAGTTGTAATAATAACTGTAATTTGTCAAATGCATTGGAGAATAACTAATGACTATATTGCAAGGAAGTTTACCAATTTTTAGTCTAATGAATTACCAACATCTATCTCAATTTTTCAAATTTTCAGATAGGGATGGACCAGGGAAAAATTGAGCGCATGAGACTTTCTCTTGTAATTTAAAAATGATATTCACCATAGAATTGAAGTTGCAAAGTTATTCGTCCAAATCAAAAGTACTAATTCATAATAACTTTAGGCTTGTTTGTTTGGCATTAATCAACCTGCCAAAATTTATAATACCATCCAAAATTTTAAAAAAATTATGAAAAATTTGTATGACCATTTACATGTCAACAGTTGTATCGTGAAAGTTTTATATGTCTTGAATTAAAAAAGAAAGTCAATTTCGGTGAGCCGCAATAACTTGATTGACCAATAAATAGAAATTAAAAGTCAAATTAGACATGCATATGCAAAGGCTGAATTTGCCTGGATTTCTTCTTTCTTCTTCTTCTTTTTTGGGGGACTTGCTTAGACATTTTACGCAAGTAGAAAGATGTCAGTAGAAAAACTAAAAAGCATAAAAATATGAATAGAAAAGTTGTGAGTATATAGACGGAAAGTAGAATTTTCCCTAAACAATTTATCATTTATCTGATATATCTGGAAACGAGGCTAAGGTACTCCTTTCTTGAATATCTTTTTATTTTTTATTAGTGTTTTCCCTAATAAGCGGCGACAATTCTGAATTCCCATACGCATAACAAAATGAAAAAATTGCCCATTTAAACATTAAATTCGGGATTTCGACAAAAAAAAAGCATTAAATTCGGGGAGCACTATAATTCCCCTATTTTTTTTGGTCGAAATAATTCCGTTATTATTTTTTTGGTCAGAAAAATAATTCCCCTGTTTTAGGAGGTACTTTTTGGTTGGTCCTTAGCTTCATGGTTCCACGACCACCCGTCACAAAGATAGTTAACGGTGATCCCATCTGCCGCATTTCCCTCTCAAGTTAATTATGAGAAGATCATCACCGAAGGCAGCAGAAAACATAAGTCCCACCATCCATGGAGGAAGATGAGCTCGTCACAGATCTCAGGAATCGATTCAAACTCTCGGCGGTCTCTTTGGCCGAAGCTGAAGGTTCGATTTCCATGCACCCATTTAGCTCCCCCTTCGTCGTCGCTCGCCCCGTTGGGAGAATTCATCATCTTTCGTTTCGTTTGATCGCAGCTAAGAGAAATGATATGGAAATGTCCGAACCCGTATCCGAATGCATTGCTGATTTAACCTTGAGATACGCAGGTAAAAGGGTCGATGCAAGTTTGGTATCGAAAAGTAACTCAATCAAAATGGATGAAATTCTGTGTGAATTCGCCCGAATCTATGTCTACATCATCCGTGGCAGTTCGTTTCTCAGTTGCATTCTTATAGTTTGTTCATGGAAGTTGTTCGATTCAATGAATTTGTAAAGTGAGTCCTTTTGCTGTTGTACGAAGAACAGAACAGCTAGCGAAGGACCTCAAGTTATTCGCGCAGCATGCAAGGCGGAAGTCTGTTAAAGCAGAAGACGTTGTCATTTCCGGTGAGCCTTCGCGTTTTCACTTGTTGGAAAATCTTATCTGCATTGTCGCCACAGGGTCTCTATAACAAGTTTCGGATTTGTTCGAATTTCTCAGCTCATAGAAACCGAGGTCTGACCACCTCGTTGACATCTTTCCATGATGAATTGCGAGCGAAAGAGCCTGAACGAGCCCACCGTGATCGGAGGAAGGGGAAGAAGTTTCCTAGAGAAGATGAAACGGTCGATCCAGATTACATGCCCGAGTCAGATTATACTCCCTAGTCCTCGTGACTCACGAATTTTTCTTGCATCGACTGGTACTTGTGAAGTTGTAATCTCAGCTAGTAATAGATGAAGAAACGTTTGAATGAAATGTCGAATTCTCTACTTTCTTTATGCTCTTTACAGATGTGCGTTCGTTAGATAAACGCTATCATCACGAATGAGGAATGATGGAAAAGGCATAAGTAGGTACCGGTGATGATCCCCATCACAAACGTACTACATTCTAGGAATTCTTGCAAGGGGGGACAATTCATGTTTACAAGTCGCGTTCATGTTAACTTAAGGTATATATATATATTTTGGTCGATAAAAACTTCTTTCATTGCTTATTAGGAAATTCACCATAGCATTATCCCATGTCTTTACATAACAAAGAAAAAAGATAATGTGGAATAGTGGACAGCCAATTCATAGGCAAAGATTCATTCCGGTGGGCCTTCGCTACCCAATCTGCAGCCCGATTTACTTCTCTCGGACAAGATGAAACTGAGACACCCTCTAAGTAGCCCAGGAGATTTGTACAATCCCTGACTAATATTTGGACAGCCTATGGAGCTTCGGCCGACCCGTGATATAGCTTTCTAGCGAAGTACAATATGACTCTATCTAAACTGAAGTACTTCCGTCGTTCAGTACGCTCGGCGAGGCTTCTCTTTGACACAAATAGCAGACCTTGCCTCAGGGCTAGGGTTTTGGTGGCGAGGGCGGACAAAGCGACGATTCTCTTCGGGTAGTACTGAATCTGCCATATGTGAGTCCATAGGTTCTTAGGAGGCTAATATGACGTTGATGCCAGGTTGGAGATAGGTTTTTTTGCTTGGGAGCCACTCTTAACCGAATACAAGCCTGTACTATTACCCGTCCACACTTGTCTGTCCCTCTGTGAGTTGATGCTTAGCGGGATGGCGAGGATCTCCTAAACTATCATTTTCTCAAAAAGTTCATTTAGCTTCACTAGGTTCTAGTGATGGGTGACTGGCTTAATTGGGTTCTTTACATAGGGTCATGTTGATTCGTCGGGCTACCGATGCAGCCACTAGGTAGCCAAAGGTCTTCCCTTATTCAGATTCTTTTACCATCTCCCATTACCCATCTCACTTCCGTAACTATCACCCCTCTCCCAGTTAGTAGCTTTGCCACCCCCATGAAGGGTGGTGACCCTTTCCAGCATGCCAGAATTCTCCTTGCGGGTAATATTTGCCCTTCAAACTTGGCTCCATAGGGTATAAGATGCCTGTATCAGTCTCTATGCCTATCTCCTAGCATCACCTTATTGAACTCTGGTAAGTCCCTCAATCCCAGTCCTCCCTTATCTTTCCTTATTTTCAATGACTCCCAGTTCCTCTAATGGATTTCTTTTTGCTCAACATTTTGTTTCCACCAAAAACATGCAATCATTTTCTCAATTGATTTGCCAATAGAAACCGGAATTTTGATAATGGACATCGCATACTGTGGAAGTGCCTGGACCATTATCTTAATGACGATCTCCTTTCTCACTTTAGACATCAATTTCTCTTTTAAACCCTCCAGCTTCGAGTTAACATGAGATAAGACCCAAGCAAACATTTGTTTCTTTGACTGTCCCCAATCTGAAAGAATTCCCAAATATTTGCCTGTTTTGTCAATAATAGGGACTCATAGCTGTGGACAATTTGGCCGAAAGAAGATGCACGATTTTTTTAGGTTTATTGCCTGACCCGAAGCATAGTAGTATTGTTGTAGAATATTCACCAAACGTTGGCATTCTTTAATTGTACCATCAAGAAAAAAGATGGCATCGTCCGCAAAAAGTAGATGGGATACCATAGCGCACAACCTATTTAGTCTGATTCCTCGCCGGTTCCAATTTGAGATTGCGATGTTCAAAAGTGTAGACAATACATTTACCATTATGATAAAGGATATGTTGATAGCGGTCTTATCCCTCGGGATGGTTGAACTAGTGGAGTGATTCTCCATTCATTTTCACGCTGAAAGCCACTGTGGAAATACATTGTTTTACCCGTTGTATCCATTCCTCGCAGAAACCCATTCTTCTCGTGCAGTTACATAGGAAGTCTCATTCAACTCTATCATAGTTCTTTTGCATATCGGGTTTGAGAATCGCCTAGACTTTCTTTTCCCTCTTTCGGATGTAGACTTGTTGTAGCATCTCCTAGACTATCAAGATATTATCCTGTGTTTGTTTGCCACCCACAAAAGCACTTTATTCTATCGCAATAATCTCAAGGAGCCATGGTTTGAGATGATTGGCCATTACTTTTGAAATAATCTTGTAACTGAAGTTGCACAAACTTATTGGCCTGGATTGTGAAATATTCTACGAGCTGGCTAATTTTGGAATTAATACAATATGGGTCAAGTTAAGTGAGGAGTCGAAAGTACCTGTAGTGCAGAAATTGTCCACGATGTCGAATACATCCTGTTGGATTTCGGTCTAGTACTGATGATAGATATGCCCGTTTAGTCCATCCAAACCAGGTGCCTTAGCTGTTCCCATTTGAAACACTGCTTCTTTCACTTCCTATTTTGACTCCTTTTTCATCAAGGCCACACTCATCTTACCGTGGATAGGGTTTGAACATTAGTCAAGTACCGATTGGTAGTTTCTGGGCCCCAGAGTAATATACAAGGAGCAGTAGAACTACCCAATATGTATTTTAAAGCTTCAGAGTCATAGCACCATTGATTGTCATCCATTTTCAGCATTAATATTTGATTCCGTAATCTTCTTTGTATCGTTGCGGCATGAATATATTTGGTATTTTTGTCCCCATACCTTACCTAGCTAATCCGGGATCTCATACTCCGGTACATCTCTTCCTACCTCCATAATCTCTGTATTCATTCTTTGAGTGGCTGCGATTCCTCCCTAAAGCTAGTTTAACTAGGGTTATTAGTTATCTCGATCAGTCTCTTCATTAAGCACTCAATTTGCTTATGAGCATTGGAAAATTTTCTCTAACTCCAGGTCCCCAATGCTTTAGCCACCTTCCTCGATTTCCACCTTAGGTATCCACGAAGACAAAACCTATCGTGCCAAGCCTTTTTAATCACTTCCTTACAATCTAGGTCTTCTACCTAAAAAGCCTCAAAAACGAATCTCCTTTTTCCTCTTTTTGTTCTTCGGGTGCATTGTAACAAGAAGCAAACTATGGTTAGAACCTATAGCTAGTAAAGCATATGCCTCCACATTTGGGAATTCTATCCGGTCGTTCTCTCACTAAGGCTTCCCCTTCTCTATTGTTAGCGCATGTATAAGCGCATCCTTTGCTTTCCATATCCATTAAAGAACAATCATTCATCATTTCCGAAAGGCCACCATTCGATAATTTTCTGCCCCTCATCCTCCAGGCTTTTCCCAGTAATAACGGACCTCATTAAAATCACCCATATAAATCCATGGAAGAGTAATGAATAGCCCATAGCTTGTGCCATAATTCTAGTCGTACCTATAACTCAGTAGATGCATGAAGAAATGATATTCTCATTCGAGTTCCACAAGTGGGCATGTGATGTCAATCAACTCCCTTGAGTAGTCCTGTATTTTCATTGATATCTCATCTTCCCACATAAGAACCAAACCCCCTACTGTGCTAATCAGGTCGATAATGACTAACTTCTTAAACTTAATCTGCTGTTTCAATCTATTCACCATTGTTCTTTTATTCTTAGTTTCTATAAGAAACGCCAAATTGGGCCTATCAAGAGCTACTAGGGCTTAGAGGTGCAAGAACGTCAGGGTAGAGCTTAGTCGCTAACAGTTCCAACTCAATAGTTTCATCTATCACTTGGTGACTTATTAAGGCTAGCTACGAAAGCCGATTCCTGGACCCCCTCATCCACCTGAATAGGAGCATCGAGAAGAAGTGTCTAATCTATAGCCTACACATCTATACCCTATAGATGCAGCTGTTTCACCTTCTTGATCTTCTTGGTTGCTAGGGGAATACAGCCTTTCCGGCCCTTCTTATGTGAGGTGGATGTGCTTTGAGAAGAAGCTACCAAACATGGTGAGTCTAGGAGTAAAGGTTGATTATCTTTGAAACCTTTATCTTTTCCTATCATCGACTCCTTGATTATGCATTTTCCTTTTCCTTTTTCTTTAGATCATTCCGACAGTTGAAAATCCACGGGGTTTGCCAGTAGCATACCATAGTTTTAGTAGGGGTCGGGGTCTCATGGTGACATCCAATTCTAGTGTTTTTGGGACTATTTCCTCCTCCTTGAGTTGATCTCCTTCCCCATTGTATATCTTCCAAAAATGGCTATTTTTCCGTACTTCCACTTTCAACCAATAACCGAAATTCCCAAGTCCCTCTTCCCCTGGCCTTGATTCTTTGTAGGTGATTTTTTCACAGTTTATGGCATAATGATCTGTCCGTCCACATGAATGGCAATAGTTTGGAAGCCGCTCATATTTAAAATCTACCCACTTTTGATCACCATTATTAAAATTTATAATAGCTCCTGGGCATAAATGATTGGCTAGTTCTATAAGCACCTTTGCTCTCCCACCTTGCATGAGCTTCCCTCTTTGTTATCTATTGCAGCTCCACCTCCTTTCCTATCTTCCCTACTACCTCTATCATAGTTTTTTCTGTGATATAAAGTACCAGTAGTCCATGCACTTGCACCTAGAATTCATAGTTAGTAAAAACATGTCGATGTATATGTACCTTAGGTTGGAGTTTTTGTAGGATCAGCAAATTTCCAGAAAAGCACCATAGCTTCAAGTACTCTTTTCAAGTTAGCTTCTTTATGAACACAAACAATAAAATGACTAATTGTAGTGGTTCGCACACGACATTTTCCATTTTCCGTTTTCCATGCCTTCCTCATTGTCGATAGAAGGGCCAACAGGTTTATGCTAGGCCTCGAGTAGATTTTCCCCAGCAAAATCAGATTACATGCTCTCCATTTTTCCGCGGGAATTTTTTCAAACACATTAGCCACAAACTTTTCGATCAACATTTGCTCCATTCTTTTACATAGCATTGCCGTCCTACGCTCCTTTTTTTAACTTCTTTTTCATCTTTGTGTTAACTTGCAGCTGCTCCTCACTCATTACCATCCTTTGAGACACACCAACTCAGCCA